TTTTCGACTTCTAGAATGACTACTGATTGACAGCGAAATTAGTCTGAGCTAGACTAGGGATCATTGGGTTGCTCTCCCGATAAAGTTAGGATGGTAGAATAAACAAGACACTCCACCAAGAGAAGTTGGACACGTGGCATGAAGTACATGTTTAGGGGTGAACAAACAAGAATACCCCTAGTGACATATAACTGTCCTAGGCAAGCATTTAATGAATTATCACATGATGGGACATCTGTAGTGGCTTGGAAAGCCAAGAAGGAGGAGCATTAAATACTCCGAGGTCCAAGCATTTAATAACTACATTGAAGAAAGTGCTCGGGAGTCCTAGCAATTAATAAAGGGGTCATCCCCATGTAAAATAGGAGGTGCACTACCTAATGTCTGGACACTACCTACTGACTAGTCCATCCGTGATGATGGATCTTTGGAAGTCTAAATAGCTCCCAAAAATAAAGCAAAGGTATGCAAATTCATTCCTCAAGAACACCAAACAATGCTTTCTTCTTCTTTTATCTCAAAAAACTGACTTGATCGTCGGAGGGGATAAGTTAGAAAACACTATGGCGCCCCTTCTAACCCGTTTTCTGTGTGCCAGGAATCACCCATGACCTGCAGGAATCGATCGAGCAGCCCCTGAAACAATTCATCACCTCTCCTTAGGCCCCCTTTGGCCATTTTGGATTGTTCCTTTATCCTGGGATCATCCATTTCCTCGACGAATGCAAGTTCACCAAGGGAGAGATATGTATTTTCATCTATTGTGCATAAATTACCACGCACATATATTGTCACCACTTCAATCCCTATCTCCAAATTAAAATAATTAGCCATTTTATTAAGTCACATAATAAAAATACAATCATGTTATCTGAAATTCGCTTAGTTTAACTACTTGGTTACTTTATTTTTTTTGAGCCGAGATTTATAAAATTTCTACACTAATATGGTAGATTTTAATTATATATATATTTTAAGAGGGAAAAAAAACTATATTTCTAAGTCAGCGGGTGAGCGTCCCGAGAATAATATTCATCCAATGTTTAAGGACTATTTAATTTAGATTAATCAAGCTAAGTATAACGCGATTTGGTAAACAGTAATTTAGGCTACATATCACCATTGTTTTGTAACTTGAAAATTTAGAGAAAATGATTCATGGTATGACTTCTTTGTATACATAAGCTTTTCTCATGAATACTCTAGTTTCGACGTGGATAATCTGTCTTTAATCGGATCGAAGAGTATTGGAGTTATATTCTATTTTATTAATTTTCCTGTTTTCCCTTTTTTCCTGTTTTGCCCTTATAATGAGTTTTATGTCTTACTCAGACCATAAGGATATTCTGGTCACTTATACCTTTTATTTGACTATATATATAAGGGTCTACACTCAGTTTGTACATCCCTTTACTCTCAAATAATTCTAATAAGAGGTAATTAATTGAAATGCACATAAACTAACTTGTACACTTCTTACCGTTGAAACAAAAAACAAAAAGATCTATTCAAGTGATATCCTTATAGGGTTTTTCTCCTTTTTCTTTATTACACTTTTAGGGATACTTTTTCTAATTATTGAATGCAAATGAAAAAATAACAACCTATCACTTAGAATCAATAAATATACTTCAGGAGAAAAGAAATTAGATAATATATGTATATACCACTTGATATATTGTTAGATTTGATTTGAAAAAAAGGTTTAGAAGATTAAAGTCTTGAAAACTCCTTAGAATCATATTATAAGAGATTTATCTTATCTCTCATAAATATCTTAGATTCCGCATGAATAAATGTCTTTGATCAGATTGAAAAGAGAATTAATCAAAATACACGTAAATTAATTAATACACACTTTATCGTTGAAAAAATAAAAAAAGATTGAAGTCGAAAGTCCACACACCTACCTCAAAAATAAAAGAGTCCAACTGCCCCAACTTTCGTTGGACTTCTAAATGTGTGTGGAGACCCACAGAAGAAAGGACAGCTGCCCAAAGGGTGCAAATCAAGATGTTCTTTTGTGGTTCTGATCAGAAACCAAAAAGAAAAGGATTTTTTTTTCTTTTTCTCCTGGGGCAATTGTCAGCCAAGGTTGCACTGTATTTTTTTCCCTGGGATCGAGTGAAGCCCGTATGCCGATCTCTCATTTCATTACTCTTTTCCTTTGAATCAGGAAATATGTTCCAGGAAAAGTCAGGAAGATAGCCTTTAGAAGACTGCCCTTACTATCTGGGAGCTTTTACCCTAATCCTTGAGTTTTAAAAAAATATATTCAAAAGTGGGTTATTTTTAAATTATTTCTCAAATTCATGTAGTTTTAATAGACGTTAGTTCCACGGATATTTTTATGTAAAAACGTCATTTCAACCAATATCTTTAAAATATATTTTTTTTATTTAAAAAACCACGTAAAAGGTTTGTTTGACTGACCAACGTTTACTTAGAAACGTTGATTCGGAGTCTCTGCTACCATAGAAATTGGATGGGAACAGGGAAAGTCATAGTCATACACATGTTGAATGGTTCAACAACTTCCTTTCACATATGAAACTTCTACCTCGTTGGAAGACTGGCTTTAATGGAAGTTTTTGGTGAGAGAGACATGACCAACCTGTTTCGGTCTTATGAATTGCATGAATCCAAGTCAAAAGGGAAATATATAATGATAAGGTCGAATTATACTTGATACCCTAAAAATTTTTAAGATTCTCATTTTATACTTTTAAAAATTAAAATTTTCACATTATATCTTAATGTATTAAATGTGCTCTAATGTGACTTTTTTACTGACTTTCTCTTATTTTTTTCGTCAATGTCCATGAGTTGACTTTTGACTAAAAAAATAACAAAAGTTGATAGAATGAACATATTGTAATATGTTTGATACATTGAGGGTACAATGTAAGAAATTTAATCTTTGAATGTACAAAATAAGAATGTTAAAATCTTTTAAGATATAAAGTACAAAAACCATAATGATAATTAACACCGGAGTAATACTATTTTGAACCTAAAAATCTAACCTAATTTTTTAACATAATGATGTGATTTCATAGGAATCATTGGATCAACACCAAGTTCTAATGTTTGATGGGGTCTGCAGTAAATTAGGTCATATTTTTAGGTTCAAATAATATTACTCGTTAAGAGCAATGTTATTGGGACAAAGCTAGTGGAATAATGGCTAATGGCTAATGGCTAATGGCCTACTTGAGATAGAAATAAATTTGGGGTTGCTAACTTACTGTTTTTTTAGGCAAAAAAAAAAAAACATTTAAATTTTTATCAACAGGTCGCATTTTCTTGTGATAATGATTCTTTCATATTTTTTTACCCTACATTAATACTTTGATAATGATCCAGTGTTGTATATGTTTAAAAACTTATTTTAGCACAATATCTTAGGAATTGTTCAAATTAGTTTAAGTGCGGGTTCATTCGATGGAAAAAAAACAAAGAATTTTCCAGATCACACTTTGGAGTATATATACAAGGGTTTAAATGTAACCCTATACAGCAGGTAAAGCATTGAGAACATGTGGTTCATTTAATTACAAGCTCTTATGCCCAGTTAATATCTCCCTTAGTTTGTTAGGAGTTGGCTTCAACGCCAAAAAGGTAAAAATGGGCATGATACCGGAAAAATAGAAGGGATAGTAGAAGGGCTGTATAGTGGCTACTTGTACACTCCAAAATCTATAAAAACTCATAACCGATTTTACCGGTATATATTTTTAAAATAAATGAAACTGTTATATACTTTAAAAATAAGTGATAATAGAAATTAAAATTAGTTTTAAAAGATGATAATTATTTATCTTATTTAAACCTAAATAAAAATATAAAAAAAAATTTACAACATTTGGGATTATTGAGTGACATTAAATTTACCATTTTAGATTAAGTTACAAATATTATGAGGTCAAGATTAGGTTATCAAAGTAAGTTCACCACTATTTTAAGTGATAATAGAAATTAAAATTAGTTTAAAAAATGATAAATATTTATCATACTAGAAATAAAAATATAATGAAAAATTTACAATATTTGAGGTTATTGAGTGACGTTAAATTTACCAGATTAAGTGAAAAATATTAGGAGGTTAGGATTGGGTTATCAAAATTCACCATTTGGCTAAATTACAACTAAAGTTTACCAAAGATTTTTGGGTATTAAAATGTTACAGTTTATCAACAATTTTTTTTGGGTAAAATTGCTTTTTGGGCTATATTTTGGGTTAAGTTAAAATTATTACAACAAAGTTTTTCATCACTAAATAAATTACAAGAAAGTTATCATATTTGCATACACCTTTTGTGTTAAATTAAACTAGGTAAAAAAATTTGGGGTAAAATGAAACTAATTACATAGTTGATGGTGTAATATAAAAAATATGAGAGAAAAATTGAGAAATGGTGATAATTTAGGGGTATAAGTGAAATTTATTTTAGACTGATCGCAACTTGTTTGCTGTTTGGCTGCTTGAGATTCATTTGCTACAAGATCGCTACGAGTTGTCCCGATAGCTACATAAGTGATCGAGGTTAGATCGTTGAACTAATCCCAAATTGGTGCAAACCCAACCTGATTGCATACCCAACGGCCTCGAACCCCAAACCAACAACAAAATCAAATCGAACCCAATCGCCACCACCACTGCCACCGGAGCCACTACCACAACCCATATCAACCACCGCCATTGCCACTACCTTCATCTTCTCTGTGGTTCTTTCTTTTCTCTCTCAATTTCATCATACTTTTGTATACATAGTTGTCTCTCTTTGTCTCTCTCAATTTCATAATATTTTTGTACACGTAGTTGAATAAGGGATGTGTTTTTGGGGTTGAATAAATGATGGTTTTTGTGAATGATGGTTCAAAAGTAATGCAATTCTATCTTCCTTACATCTCCATCAATTGTTATTGCTCAAAAGTAATAGATAATCTTTCATGTTATTACTCTCTTTTTTGACTAGATTTTTTTCTTGTTACAACAGAGTATAATGACCAAAAGTAGAAAGAAGTATAGGCCAAAAGTTGCAGATAACAGTGAGAAAATGAAGAAGAAGAAGAGTTGTAATGATCCTCCCTCCATTGGTCCCTCCTCGAAGAAGAAATGTAATCATCCTCCCTCTATTGATCCATCCTCCAGAGTTGATCCCACCTCCACCAATACAGTTGATCCCACTATTGATCCCTCCTTCATTACATCAAGTTCATCTAACCCTATACCCAATCCAGCAAGTTCATCCAACCCCATATGAAATGAAGACATATCTTTCTTCAACAAAAATGGTAAAGATCGGTATGATAACTACTTTTATTATAGGCTTTTGTTATTGGAGAGGGGTGTTTTACTGGATCAATTAAAAGATGTAGGATGTGATGTTATCTTTGCTCTTTATCAATGGAATTCTAAAGTTGATATCAAGAAGACGGATGAAGCATATAATACATTGGTGAAGATATTTAATTCTAACATGTGTGATATAGATAAAGGTGATCACAAGTTTAGTCCCTTGTGAGAAATGTAAGTTTGAAGTAACTCCAGATTTAGTTTCAAAAATATTGGGAGTTCGCCGACCCTTTGTTCTTAACGATACACTTACCTATCCATTCATGAATTCTAAGGACATACCTAAGTTGAAATATGTTTATGCAAAAATTGAGGGTATACCTAATAGTTTTTGTGAGAGTGTTGACAATCCATAATTTTCTCAGCAAGACCTTACTCCCAAATATAGGATGTTAAACCTTATAGAGGGGTACAATATTCGTCCAAGAGACATACTGCTTATTTTGGACTTGATTGAGCTCATCTCCTACATGCCATTGGAAAAGGTATATGTACAGATCTACCTTGTTTAATAATTGATAAAATTATTTCAATACAAGGTACGAAGGATAGGTGGCGATGTCTCCCATTCCCAATTTTGATTTCAAAGATTATAGAGGATTGTGGAGTTGTGATTCACTCAAGTGGCGCTTATTCCATTCCCATGAATCCAATTTATTGTGGGACAATGAAAAAGAGTTTGGGGCAAGGGAAGAACAAGAAAACTCAGCAACCACAAGTTGAAATCCATAATGAAGTTGAAGTTGAGGATGAACATGAAGCCCAGGATGTCCCAAATTCTTCCACAGGTGGTCTTCCTCCATTGAATGATCTTCCTCCATTGACTATATTTGGACATTTGCTAGTACGATTAGGCAGAAAGATAGAGGAATTAGAAAAATACTCAAAATGAAATAAATGAGTCTCTGAAGGTGATCGATAGTAGGTTGGATAGAATTGAGTTTTTTTTTATGAAAAGCAAAGAAATACCTAAGAAGTGACAATTATATGTAATTGTAGTTGTTGGTTCTTGATACAATAGTTGAACTAGTAGTAGTGAAATGTGATGAAACAAATTAATGCAATATGATATGTTTTTGTCAAAAATATAAAATACCTTTGTTCTTTATACATAAAATGAGTGTGGTAATGGTTGTGATGTGCAAATGGTTGTGATGATCATGGTTGTGGTAATTTATTAGTAAGATTATAAATTATCACCCTAATTTTACCTCTGAAAATACACCAAAAAGTTGTATTCTTACACCCAAGCAAGTTGTATTCTAACCCAAAAAATGGTAATGTTAACAAAAAAAATGGGTAATATTTTCTAAAAATAGTAATCTTACCCTAAAAATTTATAATCTTGCCGCAAATAAATGGTAACCTTATTAAAAAAAGTGGTATTCTTACAAAATAAATGTGATAATGTTATACCCAAAAAGTTGTACTCTTACACCCAAAAAAGTTGTATTATAACCCAAAAAATGTTAATGTTAACAAAAAAAGTTGTAATCTTGCCTCAAATAATAGGTAATCTTACCAAAAATGTGGTATTCTTATAAAATAAAAGTGATAATGTTACACCCAAAAAAGTTGTATTCTAAGCCCAAGGAAGTTGTATTCTAACCCAAAAACAAAAAAATGTAATGTTAACCAAAAAAATAGTATTCTTTTCCTCAAAAGTGGTAATCATCCCTAAAAAATGGTAATATTACCCAAAAAGGTGATAATCTAGCCTCAAATAATGGGTAATCTTACAAAAAACTTGATATTCTTATCAAATAAAAGTGACAATATTACACTCAAAAAGTTGTATTCTTACACCCAAATAAGTTGTATTCTAACCAAAAAAAAAAAAAAAATGGTAATGTTAACCAAAAAAGTAGTAATATTTCCCTCAAAAGTGGTAATCATCCCTTATAAATGGTAATATTACCCAAAAAAATGATAATATTGCCTCAAAGAATGGGTAATCTTACCAAAAATGTGGTATTCTTATACCCAAAAAAGTGATAATGTTACAACAAAAAATTTGTATTCTTACACCCAAAAATGTTGTATTCTAATCCAAAGGAAGTTGTATTCTAACCTAAAAAAATGGTAATGTTAACAAAAAATGTTGTAATCTTTACCTCAAAAGTGGTAATCTTTCCCTATAAAATGGTAATCTAACCTCATATAATTTGTAATCTTACCAAATAAAAGTGATAATGTTACACACAAAGTTACATTCCAACCCAAAAAGTTGTAATATTAACCAAGAAAAAGGATACTCTTACCTCAATAGTGGTAATCTTTCCCTAAAAAAGTGGTAATCTTCTAAAAAAATTGGTAATTTGACCCAAAAAATGTGATAATATTGCCTCAAAAAATTGGTAATCTTTCCAAAAAATAGTGGTATTCCAACCAAAAAAATTGATAATGTCACACCCAAAAAGTTGTATTTTTTATATATAAAATGAGCTTTGTAGATATTGTGATGAGCAAATGGTTGTGATAAGCATGGTATTCGGATTTTTTTTGCTTCCAATAAAGGTCAAGCTAGGTATATGAAAGTGATTCATAGGTTTTATGATATAGCATGGATTCACAGAGGCAGATCAAAGATATACTACAGGAATAAAAGCACATTCGTTCACATATTCAAACAATCAAAACAGTCAGTTTACACAGCTCAGCCTATCCTAGCTTGTCACACAGCTCAGCCTTGCCCTCAGCTCGTCTCCCAACTATCTCCTAACTCAAAATAGCTGCTACACATTGCTCATCTTGTTTCCTATAAAATACAGCTGATGTTCTCAACTAATTTGGATCCCTTCAGCTGTCTCTCTCATTTAATTACTATGCAGCTGGAATCCTGTTCACATGACTATTCAATATTCCAGCACATTTCAGTAGCTGGTTTCATCAGTTAGGAAATTATTTTTTGTTTTTTCATGTAAAATCATGCGTTAGAATTTTTAATTCCTTATCACAGTGTAATTAGATTGCATCGAGGGTAAGGTAAATACGTTCCCCCTAGCTAGGTGTAATTTAATTTTTAATTAATACAATTCTCTCACAAGTTCTCCTAAAAAAAAGGGTATATCAAAGTGAAAAAAAAAAATTGGAATGGAGAATGCAAAACATTTTCATTCAAAGTTGCAAAAAAAATTCAAAATTTATCAACCCATCTTGCTCCATGATCTTGGTGCTCACTGAGATAGCATAAATTGATGGTTAGATGACAATGGTGAAAAAACAAAATTTGTGGGATAAAATTTGTAATTTTTGTAATTACCTCCATATTACTGAGACTAGTGTTGATGTAATGTGATCGAATGGTAGAACCAAAGCTTGACATTCCGTCCTAAAATAACAAGGAATGAGTTCATTTTGAAAAAAAAATATAAACATCCAAAGAGTATTATATGAACCTGATAGTTGAGGATACCCTCGTTGACAAAGGAAATACAACGGTCATCCTCTTTCAATGATGGCATAGATTGTTGCGATCCATCATGCTGTGAAAAAGACATGTGGGGTGGATGTTCTGATCCACTAAGTTGTGAAAAAGGCATGTCCCGTGGTGGCTGTGATCCAACTAGTTGTGAAAAAGGCATGTCCTCGATCTAGTATTGAGGCATCAAGAGTGGACATTTTCTAACACTATGACCAGTGTACCTGCATTTACTACATCTTCGCGGGTTGATTGGATTATTCTTTTTGTGCACGACTATGGTTACCCTTGGTTTTCACAATCTTTGGATCATTCACACCGAATTGTGTATTCGTCACATTTGCATCGTGTTTGCCAAGTGACTCATGATGGGATTTTAGAAGAAAAGTTCTTTGTTGCACCATACTCCTCAGGTCATTTGAGTCTGAGAGTGACTGTGAAGCGTAATAACACATTTGGCTGCAAATTGACATAAGTCCAGCATAACACATAGGAATTGACACATTCGACTGCACATTACCACATTCGTGTGCAGAGGCAGAGTTAGGCTAAGCTTGTAGCAACTCGTGAAAGAGATGCTAAGCTAGGCTGCTTGGGTTGTGCCTTAGGTCGCTCGGGCGGTGTCTCGGGTAGCTCGAACGACGCCTGGGTGACATAGGTAAGCGCCTAGGCATTTACATAGACAAACAGAGTTCAAGAGGTATGTTATCTGGTGCCCATATTTTTTTCCTTCCTCAACGTCCGTATTTCCTTAGTATTGACTTGATTTTGGTCTTGTCCCATATGAGGTACCAGAGCCTCGGGGAGCAGTGACTGATCATCAGGAGAATAACTATTGTTATCTTTTTGTCTACCTTGTTGTTAGGTCCATGTTCTGACTTTTGTAAGTTGTTTACAAACTTTATGAAAGCAAGACAATTTTGGACACAATAATCTTTGCAAATATTATTTCATAAAATAATAAATAACTGAATAAATCAACTGAAACAAAAAAGGATAGATAAAATGAGAGTCACTAACTTGTACTCGTTATTGATAATAGCTCTTCAGGTGTTTGCATCCCATAGGTGGGTCAAGGCTTTTCTGGCAGAGTTCGAGTCCCCTCCTCCTCCTTGCCCTCAAGAGATCATTTGGATTTCTTCGAGGGGTTGTTGGCGTTTTCTATCATCCTGGTCCCAGCCAAGTGGCAGGGCTTGTCTTCTGCCAGCAACGTACTGTATCAACTGGCCACGCTGTATGAGCTCTTCGATCTGCCTCTTAAGCTCATAGCAGTCATCAGTGTCGTGGCCATAGTCGCGGTGGAAACGACAGTACATGCTGAGATTTCTGTGATTTGGGGCAAACTTCATTTTTCTAGGCCAGTGGAGTGTGGGGTCATCCTGTATCAGGAATAGGATGCGCTCCACCGAGGCGTTGAGTGGCGTGAAAGGCTATCGTTCTTTATAGAGACTTTCTTGATTCTCAGGGGTATGGTACCGAGACGTTCT